AATGAGATTATCTCAGGTTTTTTTGTAATCTATCTTATTATAGTCTGACCATTACATATGCAGTTAAGAAAATGAACCAAATCTTCCAGTTGGCCGTTCTCTTAGCCCTGTCTACACAGCTGTGACATTAGGGGAACTAAAATGTATAAGCCAATATATTTATGCCTGCAATCCCCCCTCCCCATTCGTACACACCTATTTCATTCATCATTTTGACAGTTTGCACAAGCAAACTGTCCTAATTTTTTTCAAAAGCTCTCTTCACAAATTGAGTGTGATGTGGAATTAATCATCCCGTTAGGCAGGCGCTGGAGGACATTCATTGCGATGGGGTATTTACACCCCCAGCACTCAGCTTCCTTCGACTTGTTTCAGGGGCTCGTCAACCACCCACATCTCCTTCCCTCATCCCGAAGGTGTGTTCTGTGCTCATCTGCCTTCAGCGACGGTGTTGAAAACACACCTTTCACTTATTACAGCCTTTCCCCTTTTCTTTTCCCCTGGTGAGCCATCATTCTACTTACCGTTACTTTGCTTTCTTGGGAAATTTCCTCCTAACCACTTCTCCCCCTCCTCCCCACCATCTTTAAAAATAAAAGATAGTTAGAAAGAAAATTTAAAACACCAGCTTCAAATAGAAAATGCTACACACGATCCTAAAAAAAGCAGCTGGCATCCCATTGGCTATTCTCCTGCATTTAACTTAGAAGTGTTCTAGAATAATGTGGCAGAGGAGAAGGGTAAAGAGAGAACAGTTCACAATGGTAACAACCAACAAAACTTTTGGTTTTGTTATTGTAGACTTGCAACATCATGCTTGTATGTAAAAATATATGCTTTTATGCCAACCGGTCTTTTATACAGGGAGGATGAAATCCCACCTAGTTCAGTCAACCATCTAGGCTTAAAATTCTAGCTCAGAACCCCATGCTGCATTTTCCCCTTTCCTTATTACAGAAGAGAACAATCTGAAAACTATAGGCCAGATCTATAATTGCGAAGACGCTGTTAGATAAATATGTACCGCTGTGCTCTCCTGCACTTAAAAATTACATAGATGTTGACAGTTTCATGGAAAGAGTATTTATATCTCAAAAGAATGTAGGCGGACCTGACAAATATTAGTTACATAAGCCTAATGATAGCCATACTCAAACCAACACATGGCTTTAAAACAGAAAAACTTCAGGGTGCCTGGGTGGCTCAATTGGTTAAGCATCGGCTCAGGTCATGATCTCACGGTTTGTGGGTTTGAGCCCCGCATCGGGCTCTGTGCTGACAGCCAGCTCAGAGCCTGGAGCCTGCTTCAGATTCTGTGTGTGTCTCTCTCTCTGACCCTCCCCTGCTCACGCTCGCTCGCTCGCTCTCTCTCAGAAATAAATAAAACATTAAAAAAAAAAACCCAAAAATTCTTAAACTTCTTTTCCTACTTGTAGATTCTAACAAGGTGGATCGTAAGCATAATTTTCAGCCTAAACATTCAATAGCTTGAAATCTCACTTCTTGCATAAAAGAGCCTTGATGTGGAAATTAGAAACATAGGGCCCAACCCTGACTCTGTGGTTAACCAGCTGGGTGACTTCAGAGGAATCATTTTCCAGTCTCAGTACTGATGCTGACTTTCACAGTCATATGCAAAGCTGGGAAGTTAAGACCTCTCAAATTATTTTGTGATCTTATGCTTTTAGCTGTCTTCTCCCATACGCCAGTATTCTGACCTTTATTTTTTAGTGGACTATTGCCCCAATATTGCCCCCAGTTTCTGTAAGTTATAAAAACATTTTTAAATTTCCAATCCTTTGGTTTCTGTTCTTTTGCTTTTTTTTTTTTTTGCTTTTTTTGGATAGAGATCAATGTCTCTGCTTTACAGTTTTCTGGTAACTGCTTAACTCTCCCACTGAACAGCCTTGAGAAACCCCATAAACAGAGCCCAGAAATAACAATGAAATAGTGATGAAAGAGGTGACATTAGGATTTTGTGGGTTCCTATATGAGCTTTAAGATTTTGTGGGTTCTTATAAGAATTTTTCCTATTTGTAGTAAAATAATTGGAACATATTATTTGGATTATAACATTACTGAACAGATAGCCTTTTTGGTTAAATAAAAATGAATTAATCTTAGTAATCTAGAATTTTATCAAAAACTGCATAGAAACCATTTGTTCATTCGTTTTGGCATGGAGACATTTATTCACTAAGTGATTTATTAAAAAGTTATAGTGTGTGTGTGTGTGTGTGTGTGTGTGTGTGTGTCTATATCTCATTATGTGTATCTAAAGAAGCCACATGCAAGGAGCTCAGAATTAGTTAAGGGAAATGAGATCCTTTGTGAACATGACATAAAAGTATAAGGCTAACAAATATTGAGAGAAGGGTGAGGTGTTATTGAGTCTGGTGTGAGGAAAGTGAGAGGCTTGTCATGTTGGTATCCAAGGGCCTGGCACATAGTAGGTGCTGAATAGATATTCATTGAGTAAATAAGTGACTGAAAGTCAGACCCACAATCCATTGCCATTTCCATGTGAAATATAACATGACCTTTAGTGTTGTGAAAACCATGAAGGCAGAAGCAGCCTGTATGGATCAGTTTTACTCCATAGACCGCAAGAGGAAAGAGAAAGCTTAGGAGGATTGGGAAATCACCACAAAACACAACAAAGCATTGCTGTGAGGTCCAAATAAATAGAACAGTAGCTGTTTTACTTGTTTTCTTCCATAGACTGAATGCCTATGTCCCCTAAAATTCATATTTTGAAACCTAATCACCAAAGACGATCATATTGGAAAGTTGGGTATTTGGGAGGTGATTTGTTCATACAGGAGGAACCCTCAGGAGTGGGAGCAGTGCCCTCATAAAAAAGACTCCAGACTTCTAGACTTCTGTATCTATTTTGTCTTCATTGAGTTGAAAACTGCAAGACAACAAATTTGACTCTTGCTGATTCAAAAACAAGAAAAGACTGAAAAAAGCCCTGTCACTCCCTTCTGCTATGGAAGTTATAGGCTAGAAGACTGCCATCTATAAACCAGAAAGCAGACTCTCATCAGACACCACGTCAGCCAGTCCATTGACCTTGGACTTCCCAGCAGCCGGAACTATGAGAAATACGTTTCTGTTGGTATCATGGGATAGAAGCCCCAAATGACTAAGACACTGTTGAACTAATTTTGGTAGAGAAGAGAGATGATGGGCTTTAGCACAAGAAGTGTCTGGATTTGGTCTCTTCTACTATTTACTGGCTCTCTGTGCTTTGGGTTCCTCAGTAGTAAATTGAAGATGTTACTTGTCTGAAAGAGCGATTATGACAATTTGATAATATGACTCTATCATTCCTATTATCATTGTGATCAGCTTCAATTTTCTCATCTGTAAATGGGAATAAAAATGGTAAGTATGGGTAAAATGCCCTAACTTCCTATCTGCCAGGTAGTCAAGGCTTGAAGAGTGTAAGCTATTAGCAGTAGCAGCAGTATTAGTAATCTATCCACATCTTTGCCAGTGATAATGAACTTTTATATCAGTTAATACACATTTACATTACATTCTTTACACATTACATTATTTATTTGTTTTATTTGGTATTAAAACTCCATGTTGGATATGGACTCATATTTCTCCATTGTGCAGATCAGGAAACCTGGTCAGAGAATCCCTGTCTGCGTATAACACAAAGGTGGCAGTCATATCAACCATATGTTGGTTATGTCGTGGAAAGAGCCAGATGGATCTAATTTGAATCCTGATTCTGCCTTTTATTACCCATGTATTTTTAGGGAAGACACTTTGGTTTCTCTAACCTTCCTTTTCTGGGAAAAAGGCTTTGTATTACCTACTTTATAAGGTTGTTGGGAAGGTTATAACAATCAAATGGGAAAAATATATGTCAAGCACCTGTCATTGGAAACTCATGAAATGGTAGCTAATTTTATTCTTATTTCTTAGCTGGGAAAGCCCCAGCTGTAGAGATCTTCTAGTCCGTACTGCCGCGGTGCTTCAGAGAAGGCTATTCCTTAATAAATATTAGGTGGAGAAACTTTCCACGGCTAATGAAGCTTGACAAAAGTGGGTGAAACAAAACTGAACGAGGTCCTTCTCTATAGAACTTATTTAATAGGGTAAGAGATGATGTGAATCTTCTAGAGTGAGATTTGTAGTACTTTAAGTTCTTTTGACCACAGAGTTCTCTTTTGTGGGCCATATCATAAGACTGATGCTCATATCTAAGTATGTTAGACAGATAGGCTAATCTAATTAAGCAAATCCCTTTGTCAGTTGGGGAAAGTGCAGCCAAAGTGTGAACCAGAGAAGAAGCGGCAGCATCAGGACCAGAACCAGGCTCGCCTAACATCCTGAGTCCTCCTGAATTGACACCACTCGGCGTCAACATGGCTCCCTTTTTCCTGCCGCTCTGGTGTCTGCTGCTGGTCCTCAGATGGTTAAAGTATGGACAGTCTCTGGGTAGGACAAAGGAAGGAAGGTAACCATGGAGGGATCTGGTCAGAGAACACACGAAAAATGACAGAAGAGATTCTGAGCCTGACAATACCAAGTAGGCAGGCCAATGAATTCCAACAGTGGCATTCTCGTTAAGACTATGAGTCCACGGAAGGAAGATGTTGAATTGCACCCTGTAACCATAGCATCAAGCTAAAGAGACTACGGGGCAGGCTGCCTGTTCATATCACGAACTGTAGCCCAGTCACAAAGCCATTTGCAGCCTGTCCATATTTTACTGACATGAGCAATTACATGTCCTGTAATGGCAATGAAGCAATAAAATTTATGTCTTGTCATCTTTAACAAGATTAGACATAACCCTTCTCATAAATGTAATACTGAATGGAGATTTTTAAGAACATAAGTATAGTTAAGGATCCTTGAATTTATCCCTCATAGTTAATTAAAATCCTCCCCAAGAATTGGCAGATGATAGATAGAAAGATGTGGAACCTTTTAATCCACGTTAAGTGTGAACTAATGATTTTTTTTTCGCATACCTTGCTCAGCTTCAGCTGGGTGTGTGACTCACATTTGTACCATATAGATTTCAGGAGGGAGGCGAAGGGTGTGACCCCTATTCCTGCAGCGATGCACACGCTCACCGGGTAGTGGAACACGTCCGTCAGTGCGGTTCCAAACGGCCCGTCCACCGCCAGCCTGCAATCACAAAGTGTGGCCTTTGTGACGTTCAAATGCTCCACTCTTGAAAACAAAGCCATCCTCAACCACTGCTCTTTGCAGGATGTGTTTGTAACTGGGTGCAGGGTCTTGGCTCTGAGTTTGAAAATGCCCTGTCTGGAGAGCCTGGACTTAGCATGAGGAACTGGGGATCTAGACTCACGGCGGGGATGACTGGATAGGCCAGCCCAGGTGCATTCATGGTGGGACAAAGCATGACTTTTCTGGCTTGAGCCCACACCCCTTCCACATGGCCAGCTCCTCTTATAGTTCCTAGAGCTTGTTTCGGCTCCAGGTATTATGAAACCTCTCCTCTCCTCTCCCCTTCCTTTCCCTCCCCTCCCCTTCCTCTTCCTTCCCTTCCCCTCCCCTCCTCTCCTCTCCTCTGCCTTTCTTTCCCCTTTCCTCCTCTCCTCTTCTTTCTTATACCATCAAAGGAATAAAGCAGAAGGAGGTTTAGAAGGCTTATCTGTCTTTTTGCTAACATGCTTCTCCTCTAATTTTACTTATTCAGTCCCACATCTTAGTACGTTCATATCATTTTCATCTAACAGAAACCATTCATTTGGAATAAATATAATTTTGAGATCATTTGTCAGGTATGTGGAATTTCTAAAATTTGTTGTTTCAGATTACGTGAGCTCAGAACCTGTGATAATCAGGCCAGGAATGGTACAGATGTTTTGTCTTTGCTTAGCAATTTTTTCCTTGTAAGGATGAAGCATATATTATGGAATAAATATGATCATCTGTAACATGGTCTGGAAGAGACTGGCCCTCGGATTCGACTCCATTTCTCAACACCAGTTCTCCACACTGGCTTTTCTTTCATTTCCTAAAATACTCAGTACCCCCTTCTGCCACAGGGCCTTTGCATGTGTTAATCCAAGCAATCACTAGGAATACTTGGTCTTGGTTCATAGTTATCCTTTTGTTAGGTCTTATCTGGATCATCATTTCCCTGGGGAAGCTTTGTGGATCCTTTGGATTTAGGCTAAATCCCCTCTTATATGCTTCATAGCCCCATGTACCCCCCCTCTGGAGTACGCATCACAGTTGTAATTTTACAGTTTTTTGGGTGTGTGCGCATGATTTGGTTTGCATCTGTCCTGATCACTAGACAACACGTTCTCCGGAGAGAGGGGCCGGGTCCATCTTCACTCCCCACATGCCCTCTGCAATGGAGCTGTTTGGTAACAATTTGTTGAATAAATTGTAAAGGGGACGTTGAAAATATTTCAGTCAGCAGAATGTATTAAATAACCTCAACTATTCCAAAAGCACACATTTACATATGAACAAAGATATGCTAATTAAAAGGCTTCTAAGTTATTCATAACCATTCCCTAAGGGGTGTCTGTTGAAGGTACCCGAGGTTGGCCCATTTGGGCTTACTTTGTGTTCATGAAAGTTCAATTGGGTTTTATTTTTAAATATTCCATATGCCAGACCTCCTAATAATTCAAATTAACTCTCTTCAAGTTAATCTTAATTAATAAGGCCTTATTACATATTGATATATGGAAATGGAAGAATAAAAATAAAAGGTCATTAACCAGAAAGGGTTAGTATCTCAGCCCACTGTAGATTATTTTATAAATAATTAGATAAGGGGAATTGAGAGAGAAAAAATGAAACTGTCCAAGGATTAAAATATCTTACCGTTAATTGTTTTTATAATTAGTTGTATTGGGGATTTATTTGACACTGATTTGAAAAGATAACAATTAAACCCAAAGGAGAATTGTGTCATATAATCCGCAGAAATATACAATAAATAAATTTCCGCTTATTTATGAATTGTGAATCTAAGCTGGAAAAGGCAGGAGGAAATACTGAGTCCGACTTTCCTGAAACTATAGCGCTCCTTCCTTCCACGACCCGACAGTGGATCGCATTCTTCTGTTAACTTGCCCAGACACCATGTTCCACGCAGGAACAGTTCAATGCAGTAGGTCGGTTTTCTCACGTCTCACCGAAGTCTGTCTTCTGACAGCTTCCCCCACTTGCCTTCCCGAGGAACACGCACCAGCTCTCTTCCCTTTCTCGTCTCAGGTCTTTAAATGGGCGATTGTAGCTATCGTTACACCTTGATTGTTCTTTTTTTGGACAAAAATGTCTCCCTTTCTGGAGACCTTTTGCAATCCTGAATTGACTCTTTTTGCCCAAATTCTTGTATCGAATTCACTTAGCTACTTCCTCTTCAATTTGGATCCAGAGTTTAAGGATGCCGCTTAGGAAAGGATGACCATTTCTGACATCCACACCGCACATTCCTTGTTGCTTATAGTCAGGGGCACACCCGTCCACTTCATCAATTCCACCCTCCACTCTGCACCCGCGGCCTTTGCTCATATACACGTCCTCCCCATCATCATTGCCGTTCCGGACATCTCTGGGGTAGGTGACCTTTCACAGTTTGCTAATCATAATAGCCAGGTTTTTTTTTTTTTTTTTTACACTATGCATTATGTTAAGGGCTTTTTAAAAACTTTCATATTTAAACCTAAACAAATTCTTAGGTACTACTATTATCATCTTTATTTTACAGATGGGGAAACTGAGGCACACAGTGACATACATTCTCTGAGATGACATGCAAAACTGGGCTTTGAATCGAGGCTGTCAAACACTGGAATCCTGGGCTTTAGGAAGCTAGGGTAAATCTCTAGCATCAACTCTGAGAAATTCCTCCGTTTTACCTCAAAAGGCAAAGTGTTTTAAAATAGCTCACATTTTCTTCCTTTTTCCTGGGCTTGGAATAAAGACGTTTCCCAGCTTTTTGTACAGGTTTGCTTCTCGCCTTGGCCTCACAGATTGCTGGGGCTGATTCAAATTCTTTCTGGGGACACCTGGGTGGCTTAGTCGATTAAGTGTACTGATCAGGTTGTGATCTCTTGGTTCGTGGGTTCAGGCCCCAAGTCAGGCTCTGTGCTGACAGTGCAGAGTCTGCTTGGGATTCTCTCTCTTTCCTTCTCTCTCTCTACCCCTTGCCCCACTTGCATTTTTAGTCTGTTTCTCTCTCTCTTTCAAAATAAATAAATAAACTTACAAAAATCCTTTCTGGGTCCAAAGCAGTGAACAATTATAGTGCTCCCTCCAACATGTTTGATTCAATTCAAAATCAAACTAACATTAAGAGATAAAACTATCCAAGGAAGTCCAGTAAAATTCTGATTCTTCATATGTTGAAGAGTTAAACAAATATGCCTCCACATGTATAGAGGCAGAGGTCAATGAGCTTAACAAATGAAGGAAAACTGCACTGTTTCCAACAACTCATTTTTAGTCATTCAATAAATATTTACTGAGTATCAACTAAGGGTTAGGGCCCATTTTAGACACTGAACACAACAACGTGAGCCGAATGGATAATGTCCCTTTTCTTGTGGAACTTCCATTCTAGTGTGGGAAGATATCTGGGAAACAGATCAACAAGCAGACATTCAGTGTGTCAGGTGGTGATGAGTACGCTGCAGAAGAATGAAGTGGGGCACAGGACAAAGCGGTTACTCAGAGTCAGTTAGGGGTTGTTGCTTCAGACAGGGCAGGAAGGAAACGCCTCACTAGGAGACCTCTGAGCAAACGCTTGTGGGAAGTAAGGGAACAGCCAAGCAGAGATCTGGGGAGGCGTGCTCAGGATGGAGGGGACAGAAGCGGTAAAGGTGATTAGAAGAGAAAAACAAGAAGGAAGGCTGGAAGAACGGCGGAGTTCAAGGGGGGGCTGAAACTCAGGGGGTGGGGCAGAGAAGCCCAGGGAGGCTTTGGGGTGTGGGAGAGGACGTATCGTGTTGGGCCTTGAGCTGACGGCGCACTCCACAGATAGAAGGCATATTGACTACTGAGAAACATGTACTGAGTTCTTGTTGGGGTATTGGCTGAAATGCCAGCTGGTTTGCAGAAGGGAAGGCTGGTTAATAGACCAGGTAAGTGTATACACTAACAGCGAGACCAGGCTAGAAACAGGATGAAAGTGGTGATCTGGGCAACGCCAAAAGGAGGGAAGGGATGTGTACGTGTCTAATTTTACTCCCAATTTTAACCATTTGCACTGCATTCTGAATCTTAGAATTCTGCGACATGGCTTCCTTTCCTTTTTCTTTAATTTTTTTTTATTTTTTAATGTTTTATTTATTTCTAGGAGAGAGAGAGAGAGACAGCGTGAGCAGGGGAGGGTCAGAGAGAGAGGGAGTCACAGACTCTGAAACAGGCTCCAGGCTCCGAGCTGGCAGTCAGCACAGAGCCCGTAGCGGGGCTTGAACCCACGAACCGCGAGATCATGACCTAAGCGAAAGTCGGATGCTTAACTGACTAAGCCACCCAGGGGCCCCTCCTTTCCATGATTAAAAGGAGAAGGTCTTAAATGGAGTAGTAGTTAGGTATTGTCAGCTGACTTGGGGCTCTGGTCTCAATAGATGTTGCTTATACAGTAAAACCTTGGGTTGCAGGTAACTCGTTCTGCGAGTATTCCACAAGACACCCAAACATGTCGAATAAATTTGGACTCAATAAAGGAGTGATGTCTTGCAATACGAGTAGTATGTGAGGCCGAATGTCACATGACCACAACTGAGCCAATGACTCTTCTCTCCCCCCTCCTTCTCTATGGGATTTTGGGTGATTGTCTCCCATGCCCGGATGCTCGGTCTCAGGCCCTGGTGTTTGGCAGACATCAGTGATTTTTCAGAATAATGGAAGGTGCCCACAACTGGCACTAGTGTATTTTTTTTGTCACTTCAAAGCACCTATGGACAGTCCTTTGTTTTTCCAGACAAGAATAAGCTTAGGAATGCTTTACTTCATTCTATGTCATTGGATAAGTTCCTTGGTAAAGTTGCGTGAAAAGAAAAAGATTCCTTGGAGCCAATAGATAGCAGTGATTCCGTTAGTGATAGTGAAAGTCGTCCTACACAATCACCCTCCTCTCTCTCGTCTCCCTCACACCAGCCTCGAAGGTTTTCAAAGGTTGGTGCAGGTTAATCTGTTCATAATTTTAAATATTTTGTACTTTCTTTATTATCTTATATGATATTACATCATTGGGATCATTTTTATATGAATATTTTTGGGTCGTGGAACAAAACATCTGAGTTTCCATTATTTCTTATAGGGAAATTCGCTTTGGTATACAAGTGCTTTGGATTATAAGCATGTTTCTGGAAAGAATTATGCTCACAGACCAAGGTTTTACTGTACTTGGTTTGTTATCATACCACTCTTTAGTTCCAACGTTTGAAATGAAGCCATGTGAGTCTTCCTACCTACTGAACATGACCAAGCACAGTGCTACATAGTTAAAGTTCAGTGTCCTATGGGAAGGGGGAAAGAGGGACAAGAAGCTGAATAGATTCTGAGCCTTACATTTATTCTAGTGCCTAGTTTGCCTCCTGTAAATATTTGTTAAAGTAAATGAGCTAAGGCATCCATATTGGGTCTAGGTATTCATGAATTCTTCATTAAATATTTACTCTGTACCCAATACATGTCAGACACTGTTCTGGGCACTGGACGTATAGAGGAGGTCAGACAATGCCTTGCCCTCAGGAAGTTCCATTCTAAGTGTATCCTGACAGTGCTCACCACCTAGTTTCTTAGGGCACTGGCCACTGCTTGGTAGTTCCTGATACCCTCCAAGGATGGCGGAGGAAGGAATCTCTGTTTGTTTTTTTAATTTTTAAAATTTCTATAATGTTTAGTTATTTTTGAGAGAGAGACAGAGACAGAGTGTGAGCAGGGCAGGGGCAGAGAGAGAGGGAGACACAGAATCTGAAGCAGGCTCCAGGCTCCAAACTGTTAGCACAGAGCCGGATGTGGGGCTCAAACACATGAGCCAGGAGATCATGACCTGAGCTGAAGTCGGACACTTAACCTACTGAGCTACACAGGTGCCCCGAGAAGAAGGAGTCTCTTGATGGTTCTTTTGAAATATCAGATCCTTTCAAACTGTCTTTCTCAACATTTTGTGTGTGTGTCCCTCTTTCTTGGGGGCCTAAACAACAGGTTTTGCCTGCTTATTGGGTAATCCTGCTGTAAGAGTGGGAATAGACTTTAAGCCATTGTTTGCTAACAGAGGCCAAGACCTGGTAATTTTCTCTGGGACTTCGGTCTGGTGCCCAGGCAAGTCTGAATAGGCTGTCATTGTGGGTTGGGTTGTGTCTCCCCGCTGATATGTTGAGGTTCTAACCTCGGTGCCTTAGAACGTGACCTTATTTGGAAATAGGGCTGTCACAGATGTAATTAATCAAGTTAAGATGAGGTCATACAGGAGGAGGGTGGGCCCTTAGTCCAATATGACTCGTATTTATAAGATGCCGCAGAGACACAGACACAGGGAAGAACGCCCTGTGGAGACAAAGGCAGAGACCGAATTGCTGTAGTTGCAAACCAAGGAACACCATGGATTTCTGGCAAACCCACGGAGGCCAGGAGGAGGCAAGGAAGGATTCTTCCCTAGGGGTTTCAGATGCAGCCCTGGGGCTCCCAGAACTGGGAGAAAAGACATTTCTGTTGCTTTAGGCCAACCAGTTTGTGTTCCTTTGTTACCACAACCCTAAAAAATGAATACAGAAGCCATGAGCATTCTTCACCCTTCTCAGACCGACCCTCTGCGCATCCTCCTCCAGCACAATTAAACCCTCTGCGTCCATGTTGATGTTGATTCCATTGGACCCCCAAGAGTTCTAGAGAATGGAGGTGGCACCTTGCCATCTCCGTGTTTCTGGCACACAGTGGAGGTTAATTAATACTTGTTGTCTACACACAAGCAAGACTGGCTGAATAAAGAGGCACAACTAACTTTCTTGACTCTCAGATCATTTTGTCATTCTGTGAGCTTCCATCAATCACTGTTTAGCTCTTTCTTCAGTGGAGGGGGCCCGCTGGATTCATCCTGACCGTAAAGTGTCCTCCTTATGAAGACCAAAACGACAAATATAATTTAAAGACCTCAGAAGGGAAGAGCAAAAAAGTTCACGGGGCTTTCTTACTCTTGACAGCCTGCGTATAATTATTAGCCAAGGGCTGTTTTGTAGCCGAGGAAGCAAAATGTTCCTTCTTCCTGGATTGCTGCCTGCCTTTGTTGAACATTTGTTTGTTGTTGTTGTTTTTTTTTTAAAGAAATGTACTTGCCTCTACTGGAAATCCACTAAATTATACGTTTTGTATAGGTTCTCAAAGTTAAAAAGTGGATTAAAATTTGCCATCTAGAATAAAGGTATTGCTGGATTTGGTAAGCACGTCGATGCACTAAAATGCCTTATTTGTTCTACGGTTCTAACTTGTATGTAAAAAAGAAATGGGCTCTGACCTTGGCAGGCTCCAGGGCTCCTTCAAGGCCTGTTCCCCTGCCCCAAAGGCCTTACATAGAGCTTCCGTCCAGTCTCCTGCTTCGCGGATATGCACACTGAAGAAGTCCTCCTGCGGGGCGGACGTGAGGGTGAAGGGGTGCCATTCCAGCCAGGATATGGACGGGCACTGTATCAAGACGTATTGCCCTGGCGCCATTTTAAAGTTACGCTTTTTCATGTGAAGTTCCAGAACTCCACATGGGTGGCTCACCACCTAAATCAGAGCAGAGGGATCATTTGGTTTTTTTCCTCAGGTTAAAGAAGAAGAGACTGGCTTTTTGTTCCATCAGAGGTTTTAACATTTTATTTATTTATTTAAAAAAATTCTTAACGTTTATTTATGTTTGAGAGACAGAAAGTGCCAGAGCACGAGTGGGGGAGGGACAGAGAGAGAGGGAGACACAGAATCCAAAGCAGGCTCTGGGCTCTGAGATGTCAGCACAGAGCCCAGCTCAGGACTTGAACTCACGGACCACAAGATCATGACCTGAGCCGAAGCCGGACATTCAACCAACTGAGCCACCCAGACGCCCTGGTTTTTAAATCTTAAAATCAGCTTTTTGGAGGCATTTTAGTATTTTCCATTAACTTCCAAGGATCTTGGTCATCCTTTTCATATCTGGCTCAGCAACTCTAGGAAGCATGAAGTCTGTCTCTCTTGGATCACTGTTTGAAAAGTGGGTAGCTGCACCCAGGTGCCATGTGGTGCCTGGCATGTGACTTTAGGTCTCAAATGGCTAAGCTTTCGGTAGCACAGTTGACCAGGACCAAGAGAATAGAAGCTAGCATGTCAGCCATTGCACTTAATTATGCTTAGAGTTATTAAAATACTTACAGAAGTATCTCCATGTTTTTAAAATGTAGACCCAAGTTTCTTACTGTTTTCAATAATCTGTATCTTTTCTCAATCTCTGGTTGATTAACTCTGTGATTTTTTTCTTTTTCTAAAAGAATTTTTTTAAGTTTATTTATTTTTGAGACAGAGAGAAAGAGAGCACAAGTTGGGGAGGGGCAGAGAGAGAGGAAGACACAGAATCAGAAGTAGGTCTCAGACTGTGAGCGGTCAGCACAGAGCCCCATCACAGGGCTTGAACTCACCAACGGTGAGACCATGACCTAAGCTGAAGTTAGACGCTTAACTGACTGACTAAACCACCCAGATGCCCCAATCCTGTGATTGTTTCATTCTAGGTGGAAACCAATCTTCAAATTCCCTGTGAAATGTTTTGTTTTGTTTTGTTTTATTTTAGTTGGGTCTCTTCCAGTATCCTGCTTAAGCTCTGAGTTTTAGGTGGAGAGAAGCAGCATGCAAAGACTCTTCTTATTGTTTTGTTTTTTTTTTTTTTAAAGTTTACTTATTCTGAGAAAGAGAGGCAGAAAAAAAATCCCAAGCAGGCTCCTCACTTTCAGCACCAATCTGGACATGGGGCTTGAGCTCACGAACCATGAGATCATGACCTGACTTAAAACCAAGAGTCCAGTGCTTAACTTACTGAGCCACCCAGGCATCCCTCTTAATCGCTCTTTTAAGAGCCTTATGGGGTGCCCTGGGTGGCTCAGTTGGGTAAACATCTGACTCTTGGTTTTGGCTCAGGTCATGGTCTCATTGTTTCTGAGATCAAACGCACATTCGGTTCTGTGCTGACAGCTTGGAGCCTGCTTGAGTTTCTCTCTCTCTCTCTCTGTCTCCCTCTCTCTCTCCCTCTCTCTCTCACTCTCTCTCTCTCAGAATAAATAAATAAACTTTAAAAAAAAGGAGCTTTGCAACTTGGTGCTTATTGGAAGGAAAGAACTAATTTCCCTTCTTCGATTTCCATCTCATTTTCTGAAGAAAAAAAAAATCTGTCTAGGTCTCTGTGTCCTCTTTTGTGGCAGGAGGTGGAGGGAAAAAGAAATCAAATGTCTAGATCCTGTGACAGTATTTTTCCATTCAGAAGAGAATCTCACAGCATTTTAATCATTAGCTCTGTCACCCATCTCCCTACTGATATTTGTTCTGATTCTGCTGTTAAATTGTCTCCCTAGTAACGGCTCTAGTGGATTTCCAGAAGTTTTACTGTCTGGCTTTTGACGTAGCCTGATATCCTTTGGTGCTTAACTTAAAAGCAGCAACATGGAAACAGCTTAAAACAGAAATATGAAGCAATTTCTATGCATCTGCTTCCATGAAGACAGTTTAGGAGTCAGAGCACTCTGTTAATATTGTATTAGCAATACAGGTTTGGTTAGCAGAGTATTTCTTCTTGGATGTTTAAAACACCGGGGGCGGGGTATTTGGTACGTTTCAATCTCCTAGACATGTTTCCTGGTCTAGGTACTCATATCTTCTTCCAGCACACGGTAGAATTGGAGAGCTGTGAGGAGGGGTACAAGTTTGGAAAACACTCCTTAGAGCCCTCACTCACTAGGTGGGGCACTGTCATTCTTCCTCTCTGAACCTGAGTGTGACTGTTCCCCCCCACCCCCCCGTCTTCTGCTCAGTAGTTCTGAGTGGGAGCGTGTGCCCTTGAAAATGTATGTCTATTATTAGTGTGCTTACAAAATTCCTGACTTCATATGTGGAAGGAAGTGATTATAGTGTAAGTTACCATGACCAATGTAAAGCTTAGTCCCCCCACCCAGCACCCCCCCCAAGTCCTCTAATGAGAAACTGAAAGAAAGAGAAAAAGCGATGGCTTCTATGCAGCACCATAACCTTTATCAGACAGAAGTCCATGTACCAGTCTGGAGCCCTGATCCCTGTCTTCAGTAAAATTAGTCACACTAAAAGATGTGCAGGATACAAGCAATTATTAGAACAGAAGATGGGCCTCTAAATTACAGACAGTTCTGCCATAAAAATGGCAAATTAAAAGCTTGGGCTAATAAAAAATTTTCATCTACATTCCGGCTTTTATTCAGACATAAAGCTACACGCGTACCTTGGTAATGACAACTTCTTGTTGAGACCGCCAGAACCTAATTATTCTTTCACACGCATATAAGACCACAGGGCCTAAAACCCATTTCCAAGCCTGCGGAGAGCAGCAGAGAGAGAGAGAGAGAGAGAGGAAAATGAAATGAAAATAGAATCCAAATCTTTTCAATTTGAACGAAATCAATATATAACATGATGGGATTCAGACATTTTCCTTTAACTTTGGGCCAGTTATCAACAATAAAGATATCTCCTTGTATTAAATACTATAACATTCAATTATTCTTTGAAGTGTACAAGCTTATTTAAGAGATTAAACTCTCCTGTATTGGTTTTTATGCTTACTTGATCAATGATGCCTTTATGTAATTAGAAATAATTGAATTTGCAAAGAAATAGGAAAGCAGATTGATGTTTATGTTACATACGACAGGGTCGTATAAATGCTCCCAACTCAGCCAGAGTCAAAGGCTTATGAAACTACATTCCTGAGCCAACAAAGGACACGGGAAATTACACAAAAACATTTTGAACAGTAATACTTTTGGGCCAATGATGAATCACAACGTGGGTGTCTGCCTGACGAAGCACCCAAATCCACACCCATATCCACACACACCCACACAGGCGTGCATATCCAGTGTTATCAGGAATAAAACTTAAAGGTGGTATCTCAGAACTTTAAATCTAGGTTTGCAGAATCAGAACACAATCCTCCACTATTTTCTGGACAATTGTGATGGTGAACATTTTCATTCTTAATAAATTCCATCCTATGTCAACCTTTTATAAGAACAATCTGCATTATTAATGATGGGTTTGCCAGTGGGCTAGTCTTGTACCGGTGGTTGTATACAACATAAGGCATCCTCCTCCCTTGGAAGGAATGGGAACTTAAAATGGTGGAAAACTGGGGCACCTGTGTGGCTCAGTCGGTTAAGCATTTGACTTGGGCTCAGGTCATGATCTCACGGTTTGTGGGTTTGAGTCCCGTGTTGGGCTCTGTGCTGACTGCTAGCTCAGAGCCTGGAGACTGTCTTCATATTCTGTATCTCCTTCTCGCTCTGACCCTCCCCTGTTTGCTCTGTCTCTCTCTGTCTCTCAAAAATAAGTAAAAAAATTAAAAAATAAATACATAAACTGGTGGAAGATTTGTACCAGGTCAGATACCAAACAACCCTACGAGGCATATGGTATTCTCTTTGTTTTACAGAAGAGGAAACTGAGGTTCAACAAGATCAAACAGATTGTCCAGGGTCACAAGGGCAATTTGGTGCACCAGGAACACCTGATCCCAGAAGGGTCCGACTGCCTGGCCTGTGTACTTTCCATGTAATCATGCTTCTTTCTGTCTAATGCTGACATTGGTCCTGACCCTTGTTTTACCAAACATGAGATACTCAGTCATTTGTTGAATTTTAGGATATCACACATTCTTAGAAATCTAGCTTAATTCTTCATCTAAAGAAGAAAAAGCCCCGATGTTGTGGGAATGGGTAGAACTGCCGAGGGAGACAGAACTCCAGGTTGGGGAGCCAGCACCGGGACTCGAGCCTTTCATAATCCTCCTAAATTCCCTGCTTGGGATCCCAAATGCACTGGGACCTGCCTCCTGACACACTACCTTAACACACTACCTTAGGAGTGGGAAGGATGTCTCACACTTTTGAACCCAGGTTCACTAACCCCTCTCTGGCTGACTCCCCATCTTTGTTGATCATTACTCTCTTACCCATTATCCTGCTCTGCCTGTTGTGTTGACAGGTCACAAGCCCTTTAGTGTTATTTTTGCTTCTGTTATCTTTCTTGTGTTTTTGGGTCTCTTTTGTTTACTGTTGGCTCTGTTTGCGTGGCACCTCTTCTCACCGACATCAGCCCTCTTTGCTTTTTCCTGGGGAGCCTCTTGTTTGCCTGATAAAGGCTCAATTTACGCAGGCAACACAAAGCAATTTGACCTGCTTATTCTTTTCTGCCTCAGTGGGGTTCAGCAACATGTTCAGAATAGCAGAGGGAACAAAGCCTTTTGTCCACCTAGGCTGTGCTTAGGCAGTATGATGAGCAGAGTAAAGGAGAAGATAGCAAGGGGTAGACAAGAAGGACGGGATTGGATCAAAGGAGTGAGTCTTTAGGTCTCCTATGCTTGAAAGAACCAGAAAGCTTTTTCAGAATTGGTGTGGATATTTACAGAAATGATAGCAAGAATGCAATTCTTTCTGTATAAGCTTAGAGAGAGATTTGCAAAACCACTCACATAGTCTCTACTTATTTTTACAAATAATCTTCCGCACCCATTGTAGGAAGTTTTAGACACCACACACTTCATTCTGGTGGTGTCACATCAGTCATGGTCTCTGATTTTTCCATGTTGATAAAATGGAGTGGATTGTTTTTCTTCGTACAGTTAGTCAGGAAGGGGAATGTAAGCTATTAATCCTCAGCTCTCTCTCTACTCTAGTATGTAAAATGCTTCAGGATGAAAAAGCTCAGTTTGATTTCATTGGATGGTATTTCTGGAGCCCCTGGAAGTTAGGGAGTGAGGGCTGGGAATGGCCAGAGGTGAATAGTAGGTTATCTTACAGCAAAGATCTGGATAGACAAGAGTGAGTAAAGACAGAAGGAGGCCATACCCCAGAGCAAGAAGGGCGCGTGTGAGGTAGAATTTGGACAGGGTCTTAGAAGACCTGGCTTCTGATCTTGGGGTTACCATTCTTCCCCTATGCCTTGAAGCAAATCTTGGACCTTTTAAAAAAATGTTTACTTTTTGAGAGAGACAGAGACAGAGCGTGAGCAGGGGAGGGGCAGGGAAAGAGGGAGATGCAGAATCTGTAGCAGGTTCCAGACTTAAAGCTGTCAGTGCAGAGCCCAATGTGGGCGATCTCTCGCGTCTCACGTACTGCGAGATCATGACCTGAGCTGAAGTTGGACGCTTAACCGACTGAGCCATCCAGGCGCCCCACATCTTTGGCCTTTTATGTTGAAAGTGTCTGTTTTGTAAAATGAGACAGTTGGAGGAAATTATTAATTGGGTTTCCTCCAGGCCCTTAAATGTTTTAGCTTTATTCACTAAGATAAATACAGTGTCAGGGGTATGTTCTCATAGATAGCAGCAGAGAGCAGAAAAATGAGGGATGAGAGATGGCTAGAGTTTCAGAATGAATGTTGAAGCATGTAGAGATGAAAGTTCATAGCCATGGAGTTGAAGCTCTGGTTCCCTGAAGTGGCTTTCCTGGGAATGGCCTTTGTGACCACGGGTCAGAAACCACATCTTAGGCCACTAGCCCTCCATCTGTTCAACAAAGGGGCAGGCTTATTAGGCATCTGAGTTTCTTTAATGCTAAAATACTCTGTGGCTTCTTTGCTTGACTTTTTCTCCTCCAAAAATACTCAAAAAGTCATGCAACAGTGAATATTTTATGATAGAAATAAAGCTACATTGATTTAAAAGCTGCAATAATGAAACTTGTTTCTTCCACTCTCACTCCTGGTTTTTCATTCCTACAAGAAAATAAGAACACACTGGCTCTGATTTTATTTTATGTGTGTGTTTATAAATGGCCTCTTTTTCTAGACAATAAGATTTTCAGAGGCAGGAACCATGCCTCTGAAGTTTCCACATAGAGCAGCTCCACGCATATAACAGCTATTGAGAAAACATTTGCTGAATTGGCTTTCCCTCAGTGAAAGCTTCCTCCTATACTGTTGACATAATTCCCTAATAGTTTAGAAAGCGTTAGTCTTATTATTGTCATTATTACTATTGTCGTTGTTATTATTACTATTATTACTGTGGCTGATGTTACAGTTAAATAAAATGAGGCGCTTCTTTGTCTAAGAAAGACCAGGCTTCTTTGGAGAATAGATTGCATGAGCAGTCCTAGAGTCTGGAGCCTTGAACGTGTCTGTGAGTCTGAGATAGAAGGGGACCACGGGTGTAATCAGCTCCCTGGATCCGTTCAGTGCCTACGACGTGCTGTACAAAGTGTGTTCTCCATTCGGAGACCGTACACGGTCCGTAGCGCACCACTGAAGGTGAATTGATAAATGTTCTATCGATAAAAGTACTGGGAAAATGCAGTTAAGAGAGGCAAAGAGGAAGCGATGGGTAGACGTGGTGCAGTGAAATGCAGAGCCCTTCCTCGTCCTTGGGATGCCTCCTGGATTCAGTGTCTATGAGACATCAGAGAGAATATTGTACATCCAGCCAAGTAGTAATTGCACAGCCCACACATGCTTTGAATCAGGATCCATTAAAAATAATGAGAAAGAGTGACAACATGAGTTTGGGTGTGCAAGGAGGTGTAGCAGGGGAGAGTTAACTGAGAGATGGGTAAGTTCCCCCCTTTTAATAATAATTAATGTCAGCATGCGCTGCTGGAGCGGGCTCTGGTCTGTATTCATGAGGTGTGGGAGAGTATTGATTTTTTTTTTTTTTTATGGAGACGCTGTAGCTGAAGATTTTAGAGAGGCATTCCCGTTCCTCATTAATATGAAGGCTGGGTAGTGGCTACTGATAGTTGAGTTTAAGACAGAGACAATCTATACTGACCATTAAAAGAACCACAGTCTAATGGGCACATCCATTTTGTTTCTCTTGGTTTTAAACATTCCTCCAGGCAGTTTTCACTTTTAAAATCCAGTGCTTAATTTAATATATTTGAAGATTTCAGAAACAGCCAATTATTAGAGTCTTCATAAGTTGATGACTTAATTTCCTGAATCCCCACCATTTATATACTATTACCCCGTTTTTAATGACACATATTTTGGGGTACTGTGTCCTTCTAGTTTTAATCTGCTGGCTTCATTTATTTGCTTTCATGAATCACCCAGGTGCCCCAAAGTTTGCATTGTTCTAAGAAAACCGTAAATATTTCTATTTACCTATGCCACAAATGGTAATGATTACAGCATGCCCAGGAAATCTTCCTTTTCAGATCTTGTGGACATTGTCATTGACTCTAATAAATTAGGTCTCTTTTTGCCTCACATCATTATTTCAGTCATGGAAGCTTAATTAGAATAGGAAGTAAATGTGTTTAGGACCCCATTTTTTTTGATCCCTGAAACTGTAGGAAGCAAGAAGGCAAGCTTAATAAAGAGGGCATGCTTCTCACTTGGTTGTTGCTTAATGTTCATTTGAGAAGTGTGGCCAGTAATTCCTAGGATGGAGAAGGCAGTTTCGCAGGGGGCCAAGGAGCCCAGTTTGCTGAGCAGAGGGTGGTAAATCAGATACAGGGTCGGTCATTCGTGTTTGCGGTGCTATGAATTCTACCATATCAGACGTCCGCATTTACATGTGAGCACAAAAGCCCATTTCAAAATGGACAGAGTACTTTTGGCAGTAAACCTCTTTTAAAATGATCCAGAACTAGATTTCTCCATTAGCACACTTAATAAAGAGCTGGCTTTGTCTAGTGGTGACATGGGCTGCTCTTTTCTCAAGCACATAAAGCTCTAGCTATTTTAACTGTGGAGACAGCTATTTTTAAAAGCTCTTGGGTGCGTTCTTACCGAAGGCTCCTTGCCAGAAAATTGAGGCATGGGGCACTGGGCGGCCGTCTGCCATTGAGCATAGTGGTCTCTGCAGAAGGTGACATTGTGGAGCAGTCGACTCTCGGGAGTTTGGCCTCGAACTATCCGACTTGCCATTAAAACAAAACAAAACAAAACCTAAACATTTAAAGTTGATTTTGTGCAGTCTTGTGACACTACAGATATATCCTCTACAGTGGGCTCTGAAATAACACTTCAACTGTCTTGAAATTTGGACTGTCATTCATTTCTCTAAGCATCTTTAAAAATAGGAATTTAAGAAGCTTCAAGTAACTTTGAAGATCCCAGAAAAGAAGTGCCCCTCTGCGGTATCCTGTGTTAAATTGAAAGTGTCTATATTAGAGAATTCATAATGAAGGGAAATTGTTTGAACACACCCTTTTGTAGACTGTTGAATTTAATTAGGTTACATCTCGTCCTGATTGCTGATTCGGGCTAATTGGCTAACTTTGTACTATTTGGGTCTTTTTCAGATTTATTTAACATCTCCCCTTTTTGGATTTGTTTCTGAGCACCTAGAAGTTTTCAAGTAAAGTCAGAAGTGCCCTGAATAATGATATTCTTTTCCCTGGTGACCACTAGTAGGTGTAGTGTTCAGCAGAGTCAAAATAGGTCAGCGTGAAGTATGTCTTCAGGTCTGTGTTGATGAATTTGAGAGCTAAAAGGAAGCCTGCCTTCGTGAATGGAGCACTGGATCAAGAATTCTGTAATCATGCTGTGCTATATTTGCCACAAATGTAATACTGACTGACCTTTGGCAAGCTGCTTTGGTATACCCAATGGTGTACCGGGCCGCAAAGCGTAGCGATTGAGGTTATGTAATCTGGGAGTTGCTCACTTCCTTGGTGTTTATGAGTAAAATACATTGACTTATTTTTGAGAAATAGGCTACTGAGAAACTGTAGCATCATACAGGCTCCCATCTTGGGCAGTAACATGTGAAGTAACATGTCCCCTTTTGCCCTGTTGGGTATGGGAGGAGGGAGTGGCAATGGCCTTGGGGACCTTAGACATCAGCCTAGGGAACTGATATTTCGGCCTTTGGCCCAGTCTGTTTCATGAAAGTCATCCAAACATGATAACATCCCTTTGATTTAGAAGAGCACAACTATCTGTGAATCTCCCGTGAGCAGATGATTACCAGACACAGGAAGGGCAAATAATAAATAAAAACCCGAGGAAAAAATTCTGTAAATTTTAACACCATCATTCTCAAGCTCTAGGTAACATTCCCCAGATTATCTAAAGAAACCTCAGAACATTTCACAGATGCGGTATCTTTTTAAAAATTAAAAAAAAAAATTATGTCTTCATCTATGCTATCCCATAATAGAAAGATTAGTGGGCTTTAACACATTCCAATAATCCTCCTTTACTTGGCATTTTGTATAGAATTTGCAAATTACTTTTCGCTGTAAACAGTAGCTGTAGAATACTTCAAGCTGAGAGGATTAAATGAGACCCTTATCCCAAAATAAGCCTTTCAACTAAGTTAAAATGACTAAAATATTTCATCTTATGAAATGTATTTGGATATTAAAAAATATCTCCAACACAACACCACCCATTGAAATCCTCTTGCGTGAAGGCAGGATCAGGGCGCTGTGTGTGTAATTTTGGGGACAAGGAATTCTAGACACACATGGGTTATGAAGAGCCTCTCAAATGTGATTCCGAGGTAACTGCCCAGCCTCAGGAGGAGAATCCACAGAGAAAGTGAGGACTGACAGTCTTTGGGGGAGCCCTTTGGGACCATCCATCCTGTTACCCAAAATACAGAAGGTCAGGGTGAGGGATCACATGTGCAGAAGAGGCAACTGCCGAAATTTTAAAGACTAGAAAGGCATTAGTTAGACAGCACATAAATGTAAACATTGACTAGGATTGTAAGGATGAGCAGAGTGATGGACAGTTTTTCCAGGTAAAGTCCCCTGAGGGAATGCTTCTGTCTACAAGGTCTGTGTGTCAGAGGAGGTGGAGGATGGTGGGGGCCTCTTTGTCAGGCTTAGGCTGTGGCCGTAGCAGAAGTGACCCACTTCAAGACGTGGAGGGCTGAGCTGGAAGGAGCATTTAGTGTGGGGAAGAGGATTGGTGGTGGAGAATCACGCAGAGCTGCAGAGGGGCCCCGAGGCGGGACTCACGGTGATTGTGTCGTGTGTGTGACTTGCTAGGTCCCACAGTCTCTGCGGCCGTGTGCTTCTGGGTCAGGGCAGAAGCAGAGCCTGCCTCCAGTACCAGACCCCTCTACATGCAGCAGCTGCAATGTTGGGAGGCGAAGGTGTGCAAGAGAGGGCGTCTGCTGGTGTGGGAAGCAGAGGAAGAGCTGGTGGAGCACCACACAGGGTGTTTGCAACATCCCTGCCCACGTTGCTGCAGGTGTGGAGGGATGTTTAATGAGAGCACGTGAAGGGCTCTTCTAGGGGCTTGTGACCAGAAAAGGTTTGATTGTCTGAAGCCTGGTGCCCTACATCTGATACTGGCATTTATTTGTTCTGGGACCTTGAGGGAATCACTTAACCCTCTGAACTTGTTTCCTCCTTGTGAAGTGGGGTCTTTATTGGACAGGACTGTTGTTGGGGTCAAACGGATCATGCACATGGATGTGTTTTGAAAATTGTGAAATGGAAAAAAAAAGACATCAACTTATGAAATAATTAATGTTGGAAAAAACTAGTTAATAGACATTCATTGGTGGGTTTGTCCAGAGCCATTTTAAGACTGTTCAAGGAACTGAAAACATTATATTTGAGGGTGCTATGTTTCAGGGTCTACTCTAGCTTCCTGATGAGGAGACTAACAGTTTCAGACAGGTGTTGAATGCCAGAACAGCTTTATATGGGATGTTTGGGCAAGAAAGAATCCCAGAAGTCAGATGGCAAAATTGAGGTCCAAAGAATTTTTTAAAAAATATTTATTTCTGAGAGAGAGAAAGAGAGAGAACTATCAGGGAAGGGGCAGAGAGAGGGGGGAACATAGAATCCCAAGCAGGCTCTGCAGTGACAGCAGAGAGCCTGATGCAGGGCTCCACCCAACGACCCATGAGATCATGACTTGAGCGGAAATCAAGAGTTGGACATTTAACCGAGTGAGCTGCCCAGGTGCCCTGAGGTTCAGAGAATATAAGGGGCTTGCACGTAGCCACCCTGATGACTAGAGGCAGAGCCTGGGTCTGATTGTCATCTCACACACCCTTCTCTCTCCATCACAGGGTTTCCTAGTGGGCAGTTTTGGTTAAGCAGAAGTGAAATCGAGGTGTCCAAAATATATATCTTGACTAACTGCAGGTCATTTCGATCACAGAAGTATATTCTGAATGAAACATAGGTCTACTGTTTTTTCAGCATTCATTAAAATTTCTGCTTTTTATAAACAGGTCAAGTCTCCCCCAACAGTTAGCAAGAAAAAGAAATATACTTCACCATCTATGTTGCTTCTTTCCAGTTTCTAAAATAAGGTGCTTGCTCCAGTGAAAGTTCCTTTAGTCCCTGCCATTTCTTATTCCCCATCCAAAGGGTTGCTAAGTTGATTCTGAGGTTCGCAGAGATAAAATCTTATACTCTGAGCACAGTGTGGACTTACCCTGCGCCGTGGATAGCCAGGCTGATGAAGAAGATGATGAACACATGATGTGTGTACCAGAACAGCTCATAGGAGACCTGTCTGATGAACTCGGTGGAAGAGGTCATGATCAAGATCAAAGTCAGAGAGATGATCAGGCCAGTAACACCCGCAATTGTCGTTAGTGACACAGTGATGGTGTTCTAAAAGAAACAAGCACCATGACATTAATACCCTGGTTCTATTTTTCCATTTTAGGGTCAATATTTGAGAGTCCAAGCAAGGAGTCATTCAAAACGTCCTAATCAGGGGCATATGAGCTTCAAAAAGGGTCCCTCTATGACCCAAGAATGGAGCCTCTCTGTTCTTTCCTTTGTTCCATCTGGTGGCAGACTTTTGCTTTGCTCAAATTTCATCAAACGCCATTTAATCATTTACATCTTTTCCATCTGTATAAATCAACTTTCAGGTCAAAGTTATTATGAGCAATTGAAATTAAGAAAACATATAAAAATGCATTTTTAAGATAAAATCCTGTAAAACAAATCCAAGTTTCAAGTTTTTGATTTTTTAAAATAAAAGTGTGGATTGCCATGTGTAATTGCATTTTAACATTAATAAACACTTTTTTTTTTTTGAGAGATCCCTCAGGGGCATTCCTAATAAAGCAGCTGCACATTCTGTCCCCCTGGTAGTTATTCCTTGCTCTTGCTTTTTAATTGGAAGGACCATGACTTGCATTTCTTTCATGCCACCTCAGGGAGGGTTGGAAAATGGCTTTGTAAATCCTAGGTGATCAATAAAGATCCAGGTCTTCTTCTTTTTGGGGAGACACTGCCAAAAGGCCAGAATTCTGACCTGTGAGTGCACAGGATGGTTAAATAGCCTTTTAGAATATGAACCACAAAGCATTTTGTATTTGCTGTGAGTTTTCCATATTCTTGCCAAGTCATTGGTATTCATACGTTGTGTTACCATCGTTGAGCCGACCATGAGCTCAATAAACTCACACTGTATCTTTTGTCAGTAAAATCTCATTAATTTGGGCTGCTTTGAGACCTCAAGGTAATTTGGATAGGGACTTCTTGTTTATTTTTTTCTTCATACAGCAAATAGTTGAAATAGAATTGAAAGGGCTATGTCTAAAACATTGAAAAGATGTTTCTTTTCAAGTGTACTCGGGCATTTTAGAAATCCATTTAGATCATAGGACGTGCTAATTTCAAATCATTCTTCTTTCCTTATTAAAGCAAATCCCCACTTCCCTTTTCTTGCAACATACTTTTATAGACTGGTTTGATTTGCCATGTATCCTCTCAAATAATGCTGTTACATCTCTTTAGAAATACTCTATCATGTACACTTTGTGTTATTGATACTTTCTCCAAGCGCATCAGTTTGTATTATTGATCTTTATCCAAATACCCCAAGGTAGTTATTATTTAACTTAAGGTATTACTTGAACTTAAGTAGCACTTACATAGTATACTGCTTCTAAAATTTTGAGAGGACTATATTGAAGTAACTTAATTATCTTGTTAAATTCCTTTAAAAGCATTTATAATAAATACTATCCACTCTATAGTCTTTTCAAAATATTAAGGCTTATTCTTGGTTGGGTTGTCTGTAACAGCGAGCATTTCAGAGCCTTGGGGCAGGGTGGGGAGAAGCATTACCCTCCGTAAGTGCCGAGATAAATACTGCAGCTCAAGTGAGTGACCCCGCAGGCCTTCCCACAGGCTTACAGCCATCTTTAGTTTCAACTTATAACTTTGAAACTTGTGCTTCTAATTTTTGTCAGCCAAGAAAATGCAGCTCTACCTCATCAACAGCCTGATACTGGAAATCATCACAGTGTAATTAGGGACATGCCTTGGAAGAATTCCCCAAAAAAGAGACTTTGAATTTTGCTTCTTCAAATAAGGCTGTACGGGCAAAATGGTCATTAAAGAGATGGCTCAGATGGTAACAGAGGGATTTCCGTTGCTGGAGTGCATTGTATTAGGGTTCTTCTTGGGCTAATTCTTAATTAGCCTGGTCAACATGCTGGATACAAATTCCAATAGGGCAGGACATGATAAAATATTTTGATCAACCAGGAAGAAAGGAGTAGGTGGTGGATGAAGGGAGAGGATGCTCGTAATCTCTATAGGTGGATTTCTGACGTTACATTTTTTGGTTTTCTTTTTGTTTCTCACATGTGCTGCCACTCTGTGCACACAGGTAATTAGCATTAATGATGCTACTAGCCATGCAGGTCTGATTATGAAATTAGCTACTTTGCCCAGTATCTGATTTGGCAAACCAGCGAGGCACATGTGTGCCAAAATATGACACCGGAGAAGAGATCCAAAACCAATTTGCAAATTGAAAATGAAGACGTCCAATTTATAATCCCTGGATTTAGACAGCACTTCACATGCTTTATGATTCTAACATCAACAGCAACAAAAAATATCTAATCATGAACTGCTTTAAAATTTAAAATATCAGGGTTTTAACAGGCTGCAGCATTTCCTATTTAGGTGTATTTATTATGTTTGGATATAAATTAAGTGGCATCAGTTTCTCTTCCTGCTTATAACCTCTTAGCAACATTTATGAAAAAATGCCTTTTTAAGAAAAATTGCTTATTTCCCAGAGAGAGAGAGAGAGAGTGAGACAGAGTGAAAGTGGGGAAGGGGCAGTATGAGAGGGAGACACAGAATCAGAAGCAAGTTCCAGTCTCTGTGCTGTTAGCACAGAGCCCAAAGTGGGCCTTGAACTCACGAACTGGGACATCATGACCCGGGAGATCATGACCTGAGCTGAAGTTGGATTCTTAACTCACTGAGCCACCCTAGCACTCCAAGTATATCTTTTTTTTTTTCTCTCTTAAATTTGAGAGAGAGAGAGAGAGAGAGAGCACATACAAAAGGGGGAAGAGGCAGAGGGACGGACAGAGAAAATCTTAAGCAGGCTCCACGTTCAGCATGGAGCCCCATGCAGGGCTCAATCCCACAAACCTGGGATCATGACCTGAGCCCAAATCAAGAGGCAGTCGCTCAACCGACTGAGCCATCAACGTGCCCCCCAAAATAGCAGTTTTTTTAAAAGTGAAATTGATGTTCATATTTGGCAAAAACTTCTCTCCAGCTCTTTTATTAAAGCTTTTGAAACACAGTGTTCCTGATCGAGGGATCGGGAAAGGAAAGGCTGTTTCAGATGAGAAACCGGGGAGCCTGGATGGAAGGACTCACTGTGTGGAAGGTCCGGATGGGGTTGAGGTAGCTCTCATTTGGGGAGTTGCCAAGTTTGGCAAGTGCAGCCAGAAGTCCCTCTGCTTCCGCGGACTGGCTCCAGTGGTAGCGCTCCAGGTTGCACAAATGTGCCACGGTGTGGATGGCTACGGCCAAGGAGATGACGTCAGACATGCGCCACCTGGATTTCTTTCTTTGTGGTTACTCAAAAACACAATGCCTCTATGGTCAAGTTTCCCTGTTCTGGTTTTTGTAATGTGCAAAGAGCGATTTATCTGTGCATCTTTCACCGTGTCTTGAATGGAGTGGACTGGCCACTTCTAAAGATATGGTATGATTCACCACATTCACATTAATGATAGGAAGAAATAAAGCAAATCTCAATTCATCCTAATTTAATTATAAACCTATGCTCATTCTGCAAGTGGGATAGGTATTAGGATATCACAGCATAATTATATATATGTTCCATTGTATATGTAGTCCATATTTTATATAGAACGTATTCTGTTATATGTATATTCCATATTTTATATCTTATAATAGTTTTCAAGCAATCACAGAGCATTATCCTAGAGTACTGTATATCATATACATGGACATATGTGCACATGGCATCTATGATAGATTTCAGGGAAGAGTTTTTGTTCTCTTTCAGACATTATATTTTCTATTCTTCCTTTATATATTTTAGAATATATGTATATATGCTCCTACACAGACACGTATACACAATATATTTGGATGTGTTATTCCTAGAGGATCGAAATAAACTAGTATTTATAGAACTAATCCTCTTTGTATATTCTTCAGAAGAAAACTCAGTGTTCTAATTCTGAGAATTGGTGAGGTCTACATTTTAAATGAAGAGAGTAAGATCGGGAACACAGCATCATGTAGCCCGAGGAGACCGTGCTCAGTGCCGCTCTTGTGAAATCTGTGGGGAAGCTAGCAGTCACAACATCCAGACAAGGCTCTCTTGATGCTGTTCCTATAAATGGAAGCCCTATTGGGTGACCCATTGACACCAGCCATTGGGATCAGATTCAAGTGTGAAATGAGAATTCATTACTCAGGGTGTAGATAACTTCCCAGTTGCTACCTGTTTTCCCTGTCCACCATGCAAAGTAGCAGTGGCTACTACTATTCTATAGTCTCCCCATGTTGTATGCAAATTTTGGAGTCCTCTGTGGCTGTACTTTGTGGGTTGAGGTGTGGGGGAGTGAAGGAAAAAGGAACAGCAGAAACTTCTGAGAATATTGGTAGCATGTTGGTCTCTGTGGTTCGAGTAGCAGATTTATTTAGAAATGCCATCTGCTATTTAGCTTTTCTCTCTGCCCCCTGAGTTCCTTCGATCAGAACCATTCCTTTTTCTGCGCTGAAAAGTTGTATTCATGCTTTAAGACCCAACTCAAAAGTTGTTTTCCATGAACATGTTCTTCAATTCCATAGGCGCCAGTGATACTTTGATTATAACATTTCCTAGAAATTACTGTTATGAATATTCATTTACCTCTATGTTGCCCAATGGGCTCTGATGCCTCAAGGCTTATTCATCTTGAAACATCAACACTGGACACATTGCTTGCTACCAGTGTGTACTTAAAGGATTTGCTGAGTGACGATGAGCTTATAGAAAGAGAGAAAGGGTCAGGAGGTTGTCTGCAGATGCAGATGGAGTAGTGTTTTCACTGCTGATACACATTTTTGACCATTTCCTGCAGCTTTCAAGTTAGAAATCCATTTGAATATGCTTTCGGTTGAAACCCACCTAAGAAGGCAAAGCACATGATAATATTTCTGAGTCCATGATGTTGACTCACTCCTTATGGGTTTTGTGAGAGTGGCACCCAAAAGGCATTGTGTTTCTTCCTTGTGTTCCATTTGTCACTATATGCGGCATATCTGTGAAGGAGCTGCCTTGTTTAGTCTCAGCATCTACAGAGCTAGGAAGTTTGTCTGGTACCCATGTCTTCCAATATGCTCTATTTGAAATGGAAACTAGTTGCTAAATTGAACACAAACATGTTCAGCAGTATTCCTAATTGCTGTTTTCTGGTAATTATCTTAAAGTTAAAAAAAAAAAAAAGCAATAGGTAATACTTCTCAGAACTAACAGATATTGAATACTTACTATACTCCAAATGCCATTATAAATGCTCTAGGCATATCATCTCATTTAATCCTCAGGTATTTGTTCAATTACCATTTTACAGACCAGTTTTCAAAAAGTTCAGGCACTTGTCGTCCATTAATGGCGAGGATGGGATAAAAGCCTATTTGCCTGAACCCAGGCGCCTTTACATTTTTTTTTTTTTTTTTTTTTTGAGAGAGCCATCAGGCATGGAGAGGGGCAAAAGAAGAGAGGGAGTATCGTAAGCAGGCTCTATACTCACTGTGGAGCCCGACTCAGAACTCAATCCAATCCCACAACCCTGGGATCATGACCTGAGCCAAAATCAAGAGTCAGATGCTCAACCAGCTGAGCCACTCAGATGCCCCCAGAGCTCAATTTTTGACCTTTAAGTTATATTGCTTCTTTTCACGGATTCATAATTGTTATACTTTACTGTTCACTGAAAACTAATTTCTCCTGCAGGCTTAGCTAAAGCTCTTTGAATGGTTCACTTGGTGTTTTTAATCTAGAGTCAAATAGCTCTTAAAACTAATCACAACCTTTGCAGGTGGGTGGAAACTCTCCTTCCCTCTCTGCCCCTTTACCCTTACCCCTCAGCCTCTGGCTGTCCTCAGTTCTCCTCTGTGGAGGAAAGCACACTAGACAGAGAGGCGCTGTCCCCATTTTACAGAAGTAGATACTGAGCTTCAAACCAACTTAAGTGACAACAGTTACGATTCCATAATCCACATGTGACAAGCAGAAGGGAAACAGGATAGATTCTGTGTCTTTTATATTCTGCATTCTAGAACATCCTTCACCTGGGTAAGAAGTTGTTGATCACAATCTATTTTCTATTAGATTGATTTCCACATGAGAATTTGACACTGTTAAACTAAGTTTAAGTGCACGTATTGAATGAGCAAAGATATTGAACTAGTTATTTACTCTTATTGCCAGGTCTCCCATAACAGAGCTCAAGAAACTAATGAAGTAGTATAAGAAAACCCAAGATGCTTTTTAAGAGGTAGCTCTTGAGGGAATATGTTGAAAACTACTCTTTCTAGCTTTTTTTTCATGTACTTTAAAATTCATGTCTTAAATGCTCCTTTGCTCTAACTACCTCCATTTTGTTCTCTTTTTACACATAGAAGGTAAAAAGTAGAATATCTTATTTTATTTATCCCAGGAATTCTCAGAGGGAAAACTACTTATGCCGTCTGGTTTGTCCAAACATTTTATTTCCTCTTAGGTCTAACCCTAATTTTCTTGTGATCTTGGCTTGGAACTCAAGGTATCCTACTTACCAGCCCCATGGTGGCTGGGACCTGGTAAATACCTAGGAGACACTTATTTCGCTGGGTTGTTTTCAGACATTGCATTTTCTAGTCTTCCCTTTACACACCTCAGTTGTTTTAATGTGAATAGCCACGTCATCTATGTTGACAGGGCCAGGTGCTTCCAGTATGTGATCAAATAGTGATATGGTTTGCCTTTCCTCTCTCTTACTCATCAGAATTCTATCATGTTACTAGAATTAGATTTGCTACAGCCAGGACACGGAGAAGGCTGCCTCTCGTTACTTCGTTTCTTTCTTTCAGCCCACTTTCTTATCTGTAAAATGGGCAATTTGATTGAAACTAACTAGGCAATATCTCGGCTTCTTTCTGGCTGTCTGGCTCCCGCATCTCCATCAAAATTAACTGGGACCAATTATCATCCCAAAGGGATCCTTAGTTCAATGGGAAAGTAATGCAAACACGAAACACATGTTTTAATAAGTTTTCAAAATCAACACTGACTAAAAGGGGCTTTGTGGGGTTTGTGGCAAATTCGATACCATCAGTTATGCAGGTGTGCTTGCTCTGATACCTCTGAGGACTTTCTGTTGAGCCCATGGAAGAGCTTAAGATACCCGTTTCCAGAATCCACCCAAATGCCAGGTTACAAGATGCTATAACTGGGTCTTTCCACAATCCTATTTTCACACCAAAGTACTTCTACAGTTAAAAGACAGTAGCAGTCTTGAACCAACCACAAAATGCACATTTAATTGGTGTGTGAACTTCTGAGTTCAAATAAGGAGATTTTATTGAAGAATGAACAAAAAAAATCATAAAGGCTACAATTAAAGCCAATTGCCCTGAGAAAGTTTCTTTTCCTTCTTTCTTTCCTTCTTTTTCATTTTTCCGGAGATCAAAGGAAGCATAATTGAGGGAGAATCTTGGAAGGGCAGTCAGTTCTTGCTATCTTTCTGCCTGCCTGTCAGTGATAACAGTCATTTTGGAGTTAGTCACCTCCTAATTAAGTGGCCTTCAGAAATAGGGACCCAGGGACAAATCCTGGCTGCGCTTTACCCAAACGTTCAAGCTTGTGGGCTGATTTCTGCAGAAATACATGGACTCTGGCACCCCGTGCATGCACTCATTTCTAAACCACATGAAATCATTCAGACAGGGGGCACCTGGGTGGCTCAGTCAGTTAAGCTTCTGATGTCAGTGCAGACCACTATCTCACAGTTCCTGAGTTTGAGTCCTGCATCGGGCTCTCTGCTGTCAGAGTGGAGCCCACTATGGGTCCTCTGTCCCCCTCTCTCTCTAGTCCTTCTCTGCTCATTCTCTCTCTCAAATATAAATAAAAATATAGTTATTAAAAAAATCATACTAGACAAGACCAAGGAGACAGCGTCCTTGCAGCCCCCAATGCCTCTGGCACAACTGGATTCATAGCAATTCTTTAGGGGTGTGGTCCTGAAGAGTTTGGGCCTCTGGCACTGTTCTCTATCTCAGGCTCTCCAAATCTTTTTTCTCAGTACTCTTTTCAGAGACCACTCCTCTCAACCTCGTATGTTTATTGAGGTTTGTGAACTCATTTTAGCAACTCATCAGAAGCTGCACGTGAGTCACTGCAAACCCCTGGAGCCTACTGGATGGACGCTGTCTGGGTCACTATTTGCACCCCCCTTTGAAGGAAGCTCAGGCTCACAGTACTACTCTTCAGTTGGAAGGGTCTTTGTCTACTGTGGACCACAGAGTCCAAAAAGATCCACATTAATAAGAACGCAGAGGCTGTGATACCGGGATTTTTATACCACTGGGGTTACAGGTCCCTGAAAATGATTTATTAGTGGTTGGCGAATGCTCCAGCAGCTCTTATCATAGGCAGGCGAGCGGGAAGGCAGGAAGCCAAAAGAAGAGTTCCTGTCACTGCGTTTTCGGTGATGCCCTTGATTATAGATACCATTGTTTGCCTCTCCCCTCCTCCTCCCCAGCCTCCTTCCACCAGCCTCTAATTACATCCTTTAATGATTTGACCAATTAAAGCCTGCAGTTCAACTTCTAGAGGAACGGATGAGAAATTAGGGGCTGGCACGCAAACTCCGATGTGGATGCACTTCTTCCAAGGTTACACACCTCTATTAAGCCAGTCGGCTATTTGAAAAGCAGCATAATGGGCGATGCTAATAAAATAAGCACGGGGACATTTTCAGCTTTTCCCAAGTGAATACACCAGAAGGACAAAATGTGAAAAGCACGGGGCATCTACGAAACGAGGGCTTAACATTTTTTCCCCTCTTCTAAAAGCGCAGTTGCCAGCCGCATTTCTTAGTTAGTGTGAAATGTAATAATTGCTATGTCAGGGTTTGGGAGAAGCAGAGAGCTTTCTCCCCACCCTCCTGCCTTTGCTGGAAATGGAAACAGCCCCGTGCTGCTGGTTGCCATGGAGGTGGGAGACCAGCGCTTGGCTCTCAGAAGCAGTCTGACCCTGCTGGGGAGCCCTTGGGGGGTTTGGGAGCCCGGCAAGGCAGTGGGGGTTCAAGCAGAAGAAGGCCCCGAGGGGATGCTTCCTTCTCTCCAGGGATTCGTGAAGGAAGGAGGGAGAAAGAGCGCCCTGATTCATCTTGTAGCGGCAGAATGTGAATTCCTCCGGGACAACCAGCTTCATTGTGAATCTGTTCTCTGCCCACGCCGTGTTTCCCCCACCCCAGCCGCTGCTGGGTCCCTGAGCCCCTGCACTGTCGCGGCTTGGACCTTTCCCACAAATTCCTCTAATCCCCTGCTGGCCGACTCCTGCTCATCCTCAGGCTTGACCATATTTGTTGAGGACCTATTATGTGCCAGGGGCAAGGAAAGGCAAGGTGCATAAGGCACATCTCAGCCCTGGAGGCCATCCGCGTCTGAGAAACTTCACTAGGTGGTAGGAGGTGTCGCTGAGGTCCCCAGGAAAGGTGGCTCAGGGGGAAGGCGGGCCCGGCAGAGAGTCCTGCATATGCCGTCTTCTGCATTGAGAAAGGAAAGGCAGAGCATTTAACAGGGACAAGGGCACAGCCCACTCAGGGACCCAGTGGCTGGGTATTGCCAATGGGAAGAAGCAAAGGCGAGTGGAGAGAAGGGAGGGTGGGGGAGGGGGCAGGGCTCACTGAACGGGGCATGCGGGCCATCCTAACCTTGGGTTTGACTCTCTATGCAATAGTGGCAAGTGCATGACCTTGTACTGTGTAGGTTTCCAAGAGGGCCGTCCTGAGAACTAGTCTGCACATCTGGAGATGGGTAGATTGTGTTATTGTTCTTTTAATTCCATCAAGCAAAAAGGCATACAAAAACTTAGATCACAGGACCAGTCAGCAGCAGGAGTATTAAATAATTTGATCATGTGATTCTAGTCAACTGCTGCCCCTGCGAAATCAGACTCCATTCTGAAAACAGTATTGACTACGCTAGTTTCAGGTTTTAGCTTCTCTTAGTGTATCTTGCACATGGGAGATATTCGATATACATCACGAATGCATCTATTCTAATGATCTATGATTACATAGAAATATACATACCCAAAGGTTTAAGGAGAAAACTATTGCATAACACATTTTTCTTTATTTTTTGCTTCCTCTTCTGATGTGTTTTGATGCTGTAGGTTGTTTGGTTCCTTCTCTTTTTCTCTTAGAGTCCAGTTCTGCCTTAAACCTATTGCATAGTGATAATATTCTTCCTGCCATTTTACTGTGTTTTATCTCCTCTTTTAATGCAGGGACTAAATATTCTTAGGATTATATTTTATTTTTTTAAGTTTGTTCATTTATTTTGAGAGAGAGAGAGAGCACAAGCGAGTGACCAAGCAAGGAAGGGGCAGAGGGAAAGGGAGAGAGAGAATCCCAACCAGGCTCTATGCTATCAGCACAAAGTCTGATGTGGGGCTTGAACTCACAACCTGTGAGATCAAACCTGAGCTGAAATCAAGAAAATGCTTAACTGATGGAGCCACCTGGGGAACCCCAATATTATTAAGATTTTAAAGGAAGCCTTGAAATCCCTTGAATTCTTTCTCTGAAGAGGCTTGCAAGGATCATTCTGGACTCCACTCTGACACCACCCATGACAGGGAACTCCGTATTCTCAGGGAACCTCATTCTAATTTTAGATGATTTGGAAGGTCTGGAAAAGACTTCCCTATCTGAGCTGAAATCTGCTTCCCTGAGTCTTCATACCTTCATGCATTTAATTCATTCATCAGAGGGTTTTGGTCCCTCTGTGGACTCAGCCCTTTGTAGGTCTTGGGACATAAAGATGCATTAGCTTGTTTTTTGCCCCCCCATCCCTTGGCTGGTTTCTCTCTAGACACAATGTCTTTTTACCCTTATTTCTTAACAAACTGCAAAGACCTTTCACAAACATTTCCTGGGTTGTTTACTCTGGCACTGAAGACAATCAATAGGGAAATCTCCCCACAACTTCTCTGCACACCCAAAGTTGTGTTAATTGGCACTTGGACACTGTCTGTCATGTCTTGTTGCTTAATTAAATCCACATTTGTTTTGAGTGTTCTTTTTACTCTGCTATTTTTTATGCATGAAAGGATGAAAACAAATGAGGAAAACATTTTATAGTTAAATTAGTTTGAGGGAAACAGTCCTGAACCATAACTCTTTATTGTGCAGATAGCCTTTTATTTGTTGTCCAACAAAACCACAAACGAGGTGGTTATCACTTGGCTTCTTCCTCACTAGGGTTTAACCTTAGACCTTGGCTAATTTTTATTGTATTTCTCTTGAATTCTCTTGTTTTCTTATTCAAGAAATAACAATAACACTTTATATGCTATAAAACTTCATATCTTTTCAAGGTCCTTTTATATCCACTAGCTCAATACGATTCAGAACCTTATTCATCCAATCTTGCTTTATTTTTGCTTTTACTGCCTATGATGTCATTTGGTAGTCATTTTGCTATGACTGTGAATGAGATTTTGAGTATAGGTCAGTTTTCTTTCCAATGTGGATTACATTGAATAGCACAGTATTCATTTTGCAAGTAGGTATTTATTGTTGTATTATCAACAAGTTTAATTATTCACAAATGAAAATGAAGTTTCATATACTTTTCCTTGATAAATTGAAGGCTTGCTAGGGAAAACTGCATGAGTGTAAATTAGAAATTTAAAAATCCTTTTACGTAAGTTTTATGTGGTCAAATGGAAGGCAAAGATTTATTTAAGGTGAGCCTTTGGCAGAGGGGGAAATTAAAGCAAAATTATCAAATTAGGCATTAGGTTGGATAAAATCCACCGGGCAATAAATAAGAAACACTTACTTGCATTAATGGCTATCCCATAGGCGACCAGTTTGTGGAATTTGAGGTTTTTGTCTAATTGCCTCCTCCATGGTCCTCTGCAGCACTAGAGTAACATAAAGTAAAAGTCTAATTTTAAAGAAAAATCATAGAGATGACAGCATCCTGAGTGCCAAGGGTGCTGGACTCAGGCTCTGCCTCTAAATTCCTGAAGGTGGAGCTGTGGGGCCCAGAAGTTAGTGGCCATTAATTAGCCCAATGGACAAACCAAATGGTTATTGTTGGCTTTACTGAAATTTCAACTCAATAAAGTGAAAGTGAGAAAAGTTCCCTGGCTGTAAGTCAAGCTTCTAGAATAAACCTGCTAATATCCATGCCACAACTAGTTTAGAAAATGAAGATGGAAACCAACACCCTCATGGATGTGGCTTAAGTAATCTATGAAGTATTCCTTATTACACAAAGAAAGGCCTTATGTTCATCTGTATCTAAATATTCATAAAATTATGATGATGATTGTATAATAAATCATTTCATCTAGTAAGAGTTATGGAAGTTCTCATTTTTCTGTATAGCACATTACCCTGTTTAGCAGGAAACACAGTATCTAAAACAGTGAAGCTAATATAATTAGGAAATGTCCCATTATGTCCCATTAAATCTACATACTAAATTCTGTGTGCTATGACTGTGCATTCCTGGGCTGAGAGCTCAGAGAGATGTGTCCTTAGTGGCATTTGACTCAACTACTCATTTGTTTCCTTTCAATTAGAAATGGTAGTAGTTCTGGGGTGCCTGGGTGGCTTAGTCAGTTAAGCGTCCGACTTTCGCTTAGGTCATGATCTTGCGGTTTGTGGGTTCGAGCCCCGCGTCGGGCTCTGTGCTGACTGCCAGCTCAGAGCCTGGAGCCTGTTTCAGAGTCTGTGACTCCCTCTCTCTCTGACCCTCCCCTGCTCATGCTGTCTCTCTCTCTCTCTCTCTCTAGAAATAAATAAAACATTAAAAAATTAAAAAAAAAAGAAATGGTAGTAGTTCAAACTGTTATAATACTTGCATCTTAGTGAGTCAGGTCAATTTTATTAGCCATCTTCTTTTCAATGGAGCAAATGTATCAGAGAAAGGCTGAACAAAGACTCCAATGTCAAGCAGGGAGTGAATGGCAAGCGCATAAGTCAAATTAAATGTACAAATTTCTGATTTTTAGTTTTCACCATTAGGCCTTCTCTTACAAAGAAATGAACCTCTATCCCAACATGAATTATTAGGAATTTCACAGTAAAGTACATTTTTGTCTTTCATGGCACTTGCTCTAGTAAATCATAACAACTGGAATTATTTTAGTACTTACAATACTTGTCCCTCTCACGAATGAAATAAGATTTCGACTGATGGGTAAGAGAATTAGCATGCAGTTAAAATTCAGGCACACTGCAGATGCTCGCGCCCAAGCCAGTGTTGACTGTCCATATATAAAGACACAAGAGAGATGCAGTGAGTAAGGAAGCTAGGAAAGATGGAATGCTTTCCGAAATGATGATGGTAGTCACCAACTCTACTTACACCCAGAATAACTCGTGTGTAAAGGAAAGACTCTTCCTCTTCATACCAATGGAATGTGTCGATAAACAGATATAAATTCACTCCCAGCCATGAGAGCTAGTGTTGAATGAAAAGAGACCAATCAATACTATCTTCAATCTTTTCTTCTGTTCAAAATCACTTGGGGTTCTTCTTTTAAAGGATGAAATAAAGAGCTTCTCAATATTAATCACACTTACTCGATACTTATTTCTCATAGATTAAACTGTTGATTACAATGGTAATAAATTGTTAACTTTATAAAAAAGATTTTAAACACATATGGGTATATTTAAGGCATTTAATGAAAATTACAAAGCCTTCTTAATCAACATTGCTCTAATGTTTTAAGTCGATGATGGCAAAAGGAGGAAATCTTTAAAAACAACTCAGAAAGTACTCTAGAAAAATTCCAATTTCATAGTCTAATTCAAAGACTTCATTTGATTTAGAGAAACAGTTCATACATTATGCAAAAACAAACTACTTGACTTTAAAAATAATTAAAAATGAACTCAATCGAAAAACAACTTTACATGATTCTGCAAGGGTAAATTAAATATAGCTACTGAATGTTTTCTAACAAGGTTTAGTCTTTTACCCAAGTAATACTTCAAGCTATTTAGCATTCCTTTACAATTATCTTAAAAATCAAAAACTAGTTAATATATACATTTTAAACTGAATAACAAAAATGATACTTACTCCTAATATGATGGAGACACTTTCATTCAAAATCCAGCAGCCCATCATGACAGCTTTGCTCTTTTGCTGTCAGCAAATTATTTCTTTCATTCACCTGAGCCTGGATGTTGTATCCTGAGTAAGGGCTTCCCTGGTAGATTATTTTGTCTTTTTATCTTAGGAAGCACCTAGTGGGAGCTGCTCTCGAAGAATTTCTAATTAAGGACTTCTTGCCAAAGTCATATCATCAGGCTGACATGCCTCCTGACCTGGCTGAATACAAGGCAAGTCTCTGTCTAATGATCCTCTTCCTCAAAGATTTCATAAGAAAAGAAAGCTCATTTTATGAAATTATCCTCATGTACTTTATATCCCATTCATTTTCTACATGATTGCAGTCAATATGATAATGCGTCTTTATGTAAATTCGAGAAATAACCTCATTGCCGAGGGTTGGATACAGCAAAACACTTCACTTGAACTTTCTCTACTTTATTTTCTCTACTTCTTTACTTCTTTTCCCTGCTCTTTAAAAAAAATCCTTTATAGAAGATAGAGAATAGTGGCAAATAAATATGAATTAAACAATCTTTCAGAAGATGGAGAAGAAAAGGGAAAAAAGATCTTTGAGTATGACTATAAAGAATGAAGTGGATGATATTTGTGGGATTGATGGAATAAATTCTAGGTTTCCTCCTAATCCCTCTTGGCCCACTCATGACATAGATGAGAATGTCCTTCTATGCTTAGTGATTCCAAGAGGAGCTGTGTGTGAACCTGGCCAGTCCACGATTTTGTGGTTAAATACATGTTAAATACAATAACTATGACTACTATGGTAGACAGAGTTGTTCTGATTGAGGCAATTTTCTGGTTAGTCCTGGCCTAAGTATTTCATTTAAAAATTTCAGGCAATTAAGATGAAAATAGGAGGAAACAATTGCCTAAGCTCTGTCTTTATGTGGTGAATCTGTTTAGTGGTCTTACAAGAATTAAAAAAAAATTTAGACCTGGTAGGAGCAATAATTTGGTATTCATCACTTCAGTCATCATCATCATCATCATCTTCCTCCTCCTAAATCCTAAATAATTCAGGCACTAGGCTAAGAACTTTTCTAGTATTGTCCAATTGAATCATACATTAACTCTATGGGATAGGTATTAAAAGCTCCATTACACAAATGTGGAAACCGGCCCAGTCAAGTTTCTTGCAGTAGGAGCAGTTGGGACTTGAATTTGGTTCTCTCTGACTTGAGCAACTTTATTATTAACCACTACCTTATACTGTGCTTTTTATTAAATACTAATATATGGATTTGTTCATCAAACATACTTCATTATAGATATTAATTTCATTCCTATAAATTGGGCACATTTAAGTTCTAGGAATTAGTGTAATTTAATGTATTAATTACAAACAATAAGTTATTATGCATGATTATGTACATTGTCTATTTCAACATAAAGAGAATGAAAATGATCCCTATGATCCAGTAATTCTACTGCTGGGTATTTACCCCAAGGAAATGAGAACACTAATTCAAAAGGATATATGCACCCCTATATTTACTGCAACATTATTTAAAATAGCCAAGAGAGAGAAGCAGTATTTCTAGACATCTTGAACTTGGAATTGCCGGTTAAGTGCTTTGATGAATGGATGCATTTTCTATTTGTCATTCGGCCCTGACTAGGTGATGTCTTTTGAGCCTGTTTCTCCATTTGTTTTCTTGGGCTCATTATCATATCTACCTCCTGGAGCCGGTCTTCACCCGCAGTTTCCCAAACCAACACGCGGACACCCACACTCACAAATACACACACTCCCACTCACGGAAGATGACGCCTGTTTGGGGGAAGTGTTAAATTTACCAGTAAAAATCTAGCAACTTTGCTGCTCTTAAGAAAAAGACATCATTCTTGAGGAACTTTCCCCTCTAGAAATAGATAAAAGTACAGGTATTTTGACAGCATTAACCTGAGGTTAGAGCACACTAAGTGAAAAATTTTCAGGAGCCTGTTTAATAGTGAGCAATATAAAGATGTAAAGTCTTCATGTTCATTTCTTTAAGCCAATAATCTTCCATGATGAAATGATTTGTTATTTCTGAAGTGTTTAGGATTTACATATCTTAGAGGCCTTATTCAGCTGGGTTATAAAAATTAATTCAGAGAGAATACATCTAGAATGTTATACTATCTTGTCTATTTTAGATTCACTAAGTGTGAGGAAGGCTGGAACTTTCCAGCCTTCTGTACTCTTCACACAGCGTTACAAATGAGAAGCATGTATGGCTGAATAATAATGCATAGTCTCATTTTTTTTTGTTAATTGCTTAGAATATTCCTAATGCTACAGTAAAAATAAAATGTAACGGCTTAGGTTTAAAAACACATCTTTTCATGCTCCTTTCTTATTTCCAAAATGCCATGTGTTTTATTCCTCATTTGAATATGTAAAGGCACGTTGTGTTCAAGTGTAGCTATTATTCATTTAGAGCCCACAGAAATGGTTCATGGTTGTATTATAAGAGTATAACTCATGACTTTACTTCAGTGTTTTTCTTCAGACATTTTATTTTGTGGAACTTGCAGGGATATTTAGTTTACTCAAATGAAAAATATGTGAACTTCAAATTATATTCAAATTCATCCAGAGCTCAACACTTTTGTGCAATGGATGTACGTATCTTTTCATCTCAACCTTTCTATTTCCACATTTAAGAATAATCTGATGATACCACTGGTTGGTTTACAATATTGGAACCAGATTTCATAACACTCAAGATATCTTATACCACACACCTACGTCCAATTCCATTCAGCTTCTGGGTTCCTTTTCTGAAGCTCTCAGTTTGGATCAATGAGATGTGGTTGCTCTCATTAGTTTAAATTTACCTGGGGAAAGTTTGGGGATGCCTATCATGACCCAAAGGTCTGCCTCAGTTTTCACTTCAGTGAAGGAATCTGTACAGATTACAATTTAAATCAAGGCTATCTTAATCATTTTCCTAGAATCAGGGCCAGGTTAATGGGGTTGCATATAAAGAGAGAGGAAATTGTAAAAAATCTACTAAAATGATGTAAAGGCTTAGAATTAGTTTCACCTAGTTGTTTTCATTGCTGATAAGAAGTGCCCATTTTATTTCTTAGAATTTCCTCAAAACAAACAAAATGAAATTTGCATTGTTTGTTTCCAAAGCAGATTACAGTCTTTCTAATTAAATGAGCACACTCACTGGCCTTTCCAGTTCACCGCAAAAGATGATGTGGGTTTTTTTCATTTGTGAAGATCACTGATAACAAACGATTTTTAAGTGGGAAAAGTAGGAGGGAAACAGAACATATATATTTATAAAGGTAGGTTAATTGATTGTGTGTATGAACACAAATTCTACTCTGTCTAGACGACATTCCAGGACTGGATTTGCTCTACTATATTTTTGGTCCTTTTTGGTTTCATAGTTGAACAGTTGACCCAACAAAGAACCGCTTTGAACCTCCAGGGCAAGACTGATCATCTAGTAATTTTTCTGCTGCTAACTTTTTTGCATACTAAAATCTAAGCTCCCTGTAGATATAGCAGAGTACTTAACAGTATAAAAATAGCATTGTCAAATTTTCCTCTTCCTAGTGTTAAACATATTTTTGTTTTTTTTCCCTAAAGCAATGTAAACATGTATTAAAGTAAAAAGGATGAACAAAATAAAGAATAAAATACAAACACATATCATCTCACATCCTTACATGGTTATTTTGAGGAGGATCTGTTGTGATAATTATATAATTATATTAGACAAATTACATGTTAGATAAATTCCATTTTTAAAGGAAAAGCAGAATAAAAGAAAAAACAAAGCCCATACATTCAAATATATCTGATCTCAGGGAGCCTGGGTGGCTCAGGCGCTTAAGCATCTGACTTTGGCTCAAGTCATGATCTCACAGTTTGTGAGTTCGAGCCATGCGAAGAGTCGAGAGTCCACTTTGAATCCTCCGTCTCCCTTTCTCTCTGCGCGTCTCCCCACCCAAAAGAAAACAAGCATTAAAAAATAAACAATAAATATATCTGATCATAAAATGAATTTTAATTAAGTATATCATCAATACCTCACCTTTTACTGCATTAAGTGTATCATATTTTTATTTCAGGAAACATTGTGCTTTCTTAATATCATTTTAAAATGATGCTGTGTCACAAATGTGGTTAACCTTATCCAGGTCAAGCTTTCCCCCTACTGATGGCATAATTCCTTCATTTATTCAACTTTCATAATTACAAAAGATTAGTTACTGAGACCAGCGCGTGTATTGCACAGTGCTGGACACAGTGGGCAGAAGGGATCTGGATTCCATCACTGAGAAGCTTCCAGTGTAGTAGTGAGGCAGCAGGTGGACGTGCAATAAGTACAGAACCATTAAATGTGAGCGCACCCTCGAGTGGCCGGGGCCACGTGGGATCACCGATGCACAAAGAGCTGGGTGAGGATTTACTCCAGAGAGAATTGTGTCTAGAGGTGGATCAAGTTCAAAATTATATGCTGTGAAGATGAGAAGGAGGAAAACAAATTTTAGTTTCTGTGTCTCCTAAAAGGAGAGTTTAAAAAGCGCCAACCTCCCCGCCCCCTAACCTCAAACAGTAAATAAAAAATATTCCTGCCAAACCTCTTCCTGTGGTCACTTGCGGTTTGGTCTAAGCCCGGAGGGTTTGGTTCCCAAAGTTTGTTGGTTCCCATTCTCTTGCCTTTATCTTCCTCATTGCTCACATACATTTGCAACACAAATCTTCTTTGTATTCATCAAGTTTTGCCTGCAACGCTTCTCAAAGCCTTTTGGAAAGCTTCTTATAGGACACTGGCATCATCTCACCTTGGGATAATGGTTCAAAAAAGAGCAGAATGAATGACTCGTTTCTTACCCCAAACGAAGTGGCACTACAATGTACACTTTTGCCAGTTTAAGCTTTGTGTTTTAGGGATCTGGTGAAAGCCAGAATTATCGTGCTTTTTACACGTTTTATAGTGTGTCCGGCATCAGAACTTAGTAGATGTTAAATAAACAGAATCACA